TTCCCTCTTTTTAAAGGCTGAATAATATTACATTGTGTGTACACACACACACACACACACACGCACACACACACACACACGTATCATATTTTCTTTACTCATTCATCCATCAACAGACATTTGGGTAGTTCCATATTGTGGCTACCATGAATAATGCTGAAATGAACACAGGTCTGAAGATATTTCTTCACGATACTGATTTCATCTCCTTTGTATACATACCTACATGTGGTATTGCTGGATCATAGTATAATCCTATTTTTAATTTTTTGAAGAACCTCTGTACTGTTCTCAATGATAGCCTGCCAATTTGCATTCCTATCAACAGTGTACAAGGCTTCCCTTTCCCCCACATCCTCACCAATATTTGTTATATTTTGTCTTTTTGATAATAGCTGTTCTAAGAGGTGTGAAGTGGTATTGTGGTTTTGATTTCTATTTCCCTGATGATCAGTGATGCTGAGCACTTTTTCACATTTATATCTTTGAAAAACATGAAGACATGTCCTTTTCCCATTTTTTTAATCAGGTTTTTTGTTTGTTTTGCTATTGAGTTGTAGAAGTTTTGTATATATTTTAGACATTAATAACTTATCAAATATATGGTTTGCAAGTATTTTCTCTGTTGCCTTTTCATTGTTGATTGTTTCCTTTGCCATGCAGTTAGTGGTTTTTTAATTTTTATTTTTTGGTTTGATTTTATCCCATGTGTTTATTTTTCTTTTGTTGCCTGTGCTTTCTGGCTCTATATACAAAATATTATTGCCCAGACCAAAGTCAGGAAGCTTTTACCTACGTTTTCTTCTAACAATTTTATAGATTCAGGTCATATATTTAAATCTTTAATCCATTTTGAGTTGATTTTTGTATTTGATATGAAATAAGGGTCCAATTTCATGCTTCTGATGTGGATACCCAGTTTTCCCAGCATCATCTATTGAAGAGACTGTCCTCTCCCCATTGTGTTCTTGGCACCTCTGTTGAAAATCAGTTCACCATAGATGCCTGGATTTATTCTGGGCTCCATATTCTGTTCCATCGGTCTATATGTCTGTTTGTATGCCAGTATCATACTGTCGTGATTATTGTAGCTTTGTAATATATTTTAAAATCAGGAAGTGTGATGCCTCCAGCTTTGTTCTTCTTGCTCAAGATTGCTTTGGTTATTTAGGGACTTTTGTGGTTCCATATGAATTTTAGGATTGTTTTTTCTATTTCTATAAAGAATGTTATTGGGATTTTAATAGGGATTTCGTTGAGTCTGCAAATCACTTTGGGTAGTATGGACATTTTACCAGTGTTAATTCTTCCAATCCATGATTATGGGATATCTTTCCACTTACCTGTGTTTTCTTTAATTTTCATCATCACTGTTTTTATAATTTTCAGTGTACAAGTATTTCACCTCTTTGGTTAGGTTTATTACCAATTATTTTGTTCTTTTTGTTGCTATCATGAATGTAATTTTTTTAATCTTCTTTTCAGAAAGCTCATTGTCTGTAGAAATGTGACTGATTTTTGTATGTTGATTTTGTGTCCTGCAATTTTACTTAATTTGTGTATTAGTTCTAACAGGAGGTTTTTGTGTGTGTGTGTTGTTGAGTCTTTAGGTTTTCTATATATGTGATGATGTAATTTGCAAACAGATAATTCTACTTCTTCCTCTCCAATTTGGATGCCTTTATTTATTTTTCTTGTTTAATCACTCTGGCTAGGACTTCTAGTACTGTGTTGAATTAAAGTTGTTGAGTCTTTAGGTTTTCTATATATGTGATGATGTAATTTGCAAACAGATAATTCTACTTCTTCCTCTCCAATTTGGATGACTTTATTTATTTTTCTTGTTTAATCACTCTGGCTAGGACTTCTAGTACTGTGTTGAATTAAAGTGGCAAGAGTGGGTATCCTTGCCTACCAGATTTTAGAGGGTTCTTACCAGACCTTAAAGGGAAAGTTTTTCATTTTTCCCTCACTGGTTATAACGTTAGCTGTGGGCTTTTCATATATGGTCCTTATTGTTTTGAAGTAAGTTCCTACTATACCTATTTTGTTGAGAGTTTTAATCATGAATGGATGTCACTTTCTTAATGCTTTTTTCTGCATCTGTTGAGATGATCATGTGTTTTTTTCTTTCTGTTTATGTGTTGTATTGCATTGACTGATTTGCATATGCTGAACCATCCTTGCATCCCAGGGATAAATCCCACCTGGTAATGGCCTATGATCCTTTAAATGAGCTGTTGAATTCAGTTTGATAGTATTTTATTAAGGACTTTTGCATCTGTGTTCATCAGAGATATTGGCTTGTAGTTTTCTTGTGCTGTCGTTGTATGGTTTGGAATCAGGGTGGTATCGGATTCATAAAATTGAGTTTGAAAGTGTTTCCTCTTCTATTTTTTGGAAGAGTTTAAGGAGGACTGATATTAATTCTTCTTTAAATTTACCTGTGAAGCCATCTGGCCCTGGACCTTTCTTTGTGGGGAAGTTTGTGATTATGGATTCATTCTCCTTATTTGTTATTTATCTGCCCAGGCTTTTTATTTCTTCCTTATGCAGTTTCTATAGGTTGTATGTTCTAGGAGTTCATCCATTTCTCCTAGAGCATCCAATTTGCTGGCATATGATTGAATTTGTTGGCATAATTGTTCATAACTGTCCTTTATGATCTTTTATAAAAAATTTTTGAAGCATCCATTATAATGGCTTCTCTTTTGTTTCTGATTTTATTTAAATCTTCTCTTTTTCCACAGATAAACATCCCTATATTTTCACATGTGTCAGTGCTTACTTTCTTAGAATACATTTGTGAAAGTGGAATTGTTGGGTTAGAGGCTCTGCATAATTCTAAGATTTCTAGTGTATATTACCAGATGACTCTTCAGGAAGGCCCCACTTGAACTGCCACACCCAACATATGAGAATGCCAGTCCCCTTTCCCTACGGCATACATTCTTTCAACTTCCCTTGCTGATGTCACAGACCATCATAGGCATGATTTTAATTTATCATTCAAAGAACTAATCTTAATCTCTCTACCTAAACTTTTTATAGTAGGTTGAATATATATTGACCTCCATGTGAATAACCCTCTTCCATTACCTGATATCATTTAAGCCTAAAAAATATTAACCAAAAAAACCCTAAGTAATTTAAGTGTAACTTAAAATGATGCTGGCACTTGACTGTGAGAATTCATAAGCCCTGTTCAAGAGCTTTCCAACATGTACACAGCACACCTTCTCTGCTGTTCCTCTTCATAATCTGCCCAGATCATTTCCTTCTGCTGCTTACTATACCTAGACTGCTGCATTCTCTTTATTTCACTATTGTAGCAACTCCAAAATTACTTTAACACTGGAAACTCACTCACTCGACAGCAGGCTGCCTCCTTCCCCTCTTGCCCACTCTGGCCCTTGCCTCCCTGCTGCTAGGCATGGCCTGATGTTTCCCTCCCCTAAGTACAGACGACCTGCCTGAGCCCAGTCTTTGCTTGCCTGTAGGGGCTGGATGGGTGAGTGACTGTGATGTGGAGGATTAGATGTTGCCTCCCCTCCCGGTCTCCTCACACACTCAGGTGGGCCAGCA